GTCCCAGACCGGAGCCCGGCGCGGGGGGAGGGGAGTCCCAGACCGGAACCCGGCGCGGGGGGAGGGGAGTCCCAGACCGGAGCCCAGCAAATGGTGAGGGAAGTCCCAGACCAGAGCCCGGTGTGGGGAAGTGAGTCCCAGATTGGAGGACGGCACATGGGGAGGTGAGTCCCAGATTGGAGGATGGCACATGGGGAGGTGAGTCCCAGACCAGGGGGAGGGGAGTCCCAGACCGGAGCCCAGCGTGGGGGGAGGGGAGTCCCAGACCGGATCCCAGCGCAGAGGGAGTGGAGTCCCGCACTGGAGCCCAGCCTGTGGGGAGGGGAGTCCCAGACCGGAGCCCAGCACGGGGGGAGGGGAGTCCCAGACCGGAGCCCAGCGTGGGGGGAGCGGAGTCGCACTGGAGCCCAGCAGGGTTGGGGGAGGGGAGTCCCAGACCAGAGGTTGGATTGGGAGACAAGGCCCTTGCGGCCTGGAGGCTGGGTGCTGGCACAGACTGGGGTGAAAGGGACTGTAATTCAAATACCCTTTCTTTTCTCTTTTCATTCTCATGCAGAACATTTATTTATCGTTTTTTCAACTGAGTACCAACTACGTAAGATTCTGTACCTAGGCATCCTGTACCTCGGGTGGCACCATAAGCGACGACACTGAAAACTTTCACATTCGAGGGCATGTGGCAACAAAACTAATTCTAATTGTAGTGGACAGTGAAGAAGGTTATCCAAGATTACAAAGGAGGTCTTCATCAATTGGGGCAATGGGCTGAGAACAGGCAGATGGAGTTTAATTTGGATAAATGCAAGGTATTGCATTTTGGTAAAATGAATAAGGACAGGAATTATACAACTAATAACTTGGGTAGTGTTGTCAAACAGAGAAATCTAGAGGTTCAGGCACATAATTCTTTGAAATTTGTTTCACATGTCGACAGGGAGGTTAAGAAGGCATTTAGCACACTTGCCTTCATTGCTCAGACCATTGAATACTGAAGTTGGGACATTATGTTGATGTTGTACAATACGTTGGTGAGGCCACTTTTGAATTCTTTGTCCAGTCCTGGTCGCCCTGCTATAGGAAGGATATCACTAAATTAGAGAGGGTTCAGAAAAGAGTTACCAGGATGTTGCCGGGAATAGAGGGTTGAGTTATAAGGAGAGGCTGGATAGGCTGGGACTTTTTCACAGGTGTGTAGGAGGCTGAGGGGTGGCCTTTACAGAGATTTATAAAATCATGTGGGGCATAGATAAGGTGAATAGCAAAGATCTTTCCCTTTGGGCAGGAGAGTTCAAAACCAGGGAGCATATTTTTAAGGTGAGAGGAGAAAAATTTAAAAGGGACATGGGGGCAACTTTTTGCACACAGAGAGTGGTTCGTGTGTGGAATGAACTTCCTGAGGAAGTGGTGGATGTGGGTACAGTTACAACATTTAAAAGACATTGGATAAGTACATGAATAGGAAGCATTTGGAGGGATATAGGCTAAACGCAGGTAAGTGGGACTAGTTTAGTTTGGGAAACTTGGTCGGCATGGACAAATTGGACCATAGGGTCTGTTTCCATGCTGTACAACCCTATGACCATTCCCATCCCAACTGTTCCAAGAAAGATGGATGAACTCATGGTATCACAGTAAGTGTGAATGAAAAACATCCAAATTTCTAAAAAAAGGTCATTATGTAAAATATGAGCTTGTGGATGGGGGTGACATATTAGCTGAGACTGAGGATTGGTGAGCTGGCAGGGTGAGTCAGTTCCAGCTTGGCAAGATGTAATGAAAAATCAGTGCTGGTGCCTCAACTTTTACAATCAATGCCAATGACATGGATGAGGGGACTGAGTGTATGGTTGCTAAATTTGCTGATAACACTGTGATAGGCAGGAAAGTAAGTTGTGAAGAGCTCTTAAATAGTCTACAATAAGATACAACAAGGTGCAGGGCTGGATGAACACAGCAGGCCAAGCAGCATCATAGGAGCAGAGAGGCTGACGTTTCGGGCCTAGACCCTTCATCAGAAAAGGGGGAGGGGAAGGGGATTTTGAAATAAATAGGGAGAGAGTGGGAGGCGGATAGAAGAGGGATAGAGGAGAGGATAGGTGGAGAGGAAACAAACAGGTCGAAGAGGCGGGGATGGGGCCAGGAAAGGTGAGTGTAGGTAGGGAGTTAGGAAGGGGATAGGTCA